CCTCCAGGCAAACTGCTGGGGAAACACACTTCCTTTAATCAAGAAGTTAAGGCTAGAGCAGAAAAGTTTAATTACTTAAGTTGTTGGGTTTTTTCACTTCCCACACAGGAGACTTTCACTTAAGGCTAAGTCTGAGATTGCAGTATTAGGGGTGTGTTTGTGGTTATCTCGTGTAGATCCAAGCCCTTGATACAGCCCAAATGGGCTGTCCTATGGATACTCTGCCCCTGGCTTGGCACCCTCAGCTCTTCCTCCCTGCCATCATCTGCTCTAGGTGTTTAACATCTTTAAAAAATGCAGGATTTAACCATTTCAGAGATCTGAAAATTAGAGGCAGAACATCGCATTATTGATTATATACATGTTCTTAGCAGTTGTGGGTAATATGAAGTTGTATAAATATATATGTTTAGTTAAGAAAGAAGAACTGTGAAAATATTTAACATAAACTTCTAGAGAAAACAAACAATAAATCAAAAACTCCCCTAAAACAATCAGACTGAAGCAAAGCAAAGAAAAAAAAAAAAGAAAAAAAAAAGAAAAAAAAAAGTTGAACTGAAAAATAAATATCACTAAAAAAGAAAAACTTTACAAGATGTGTGAAACTTCCTAACTAAAAGGAATATATTAATGTGATATATCTGTTTATTTTAAAATTCAATTAAGACATGCACATTAGCCTGCTGTGTAACTGTCTAATATAATAATGACGAATTTATGAATAAGACAGTTCTGGGTTTATAATCCCAAAATGTACCATGTTTACTTTTAAAGGCACATTTAAATTTGAGGTTTTTTTCATGTGTTTTCCCCTTCTACTACAATTCTTGAGTTAAGGTTGTGAGCTTTAGCCTACAGGAACATTCCTGTTAGTCATATATGGAACTATCTACAACATACATCTGATTGAGTTATCTGGGCTGACACCCTATTTCCCTGAGTCTTTTAGCATTCCCACTAGGTAACCTCCCCACTCATCCTGCAGAGAAGGGGCCTTAGGAGCTAGTTTCAGTCCCAAGGATCAGCTATCCTTGAGCAAAGCTTTTAAACAGCCTCTATGATGATGGAAGTGCAGGAGATAGATTTATGCCAGTAGGAATTTCTTACCCGCAGTTCAATTATCTCAATCACCAGTGACTACCTCCTCCTTCACCTATGACACAAACAAGCCAAAGAAACCACAGAGCCTTTCCTTTTGTAGTCATATCACGCTGTAGGATGATACTGAGTCTTCAACTCACCTGTAGCGAGAACAAGCTTATGGGTAACTTCAGATCATATTGGTTTCATTTTCATGCATTTTGCACACGGCAGAAAATGTGCCTGTCAGTTTTATTGAAAGAAGGGTACTCATTTAGAGAAGCAGTTAATAATCATGGGATTGCAAAAAATTTTACCAACTGAAAAAATTATCATGTTTTGCCATCTAGATGAGACGCGAAAGTCATACTTAGCCTTCTAAACATTAAGATAGTTTTTGTTAAAATTAAATGCACAGAGCAGCATTGTATGGATGTTATTATCACTTTTATGTGTACCGTACGTCACTAAGTTTTCTGTATGTCTCCCTCTTACTGGACAACTTAGAGACTCTGAGAAAAAAATCAGGCTTTGTGTCCATAAGCCACTTTACCAGAGAGACACCCTAGCACATTACCTAAATTGTTTTCAGAATATCAAAATATGAATAGTACCAAATTTTTTTTAGGATACATACAGATCCCTAGCTTTTCTGCAGTTAAGGTAGTATCATTATTTCATCACGTCATTCTTTGTAATTTCCTGGTCTTTTTGTAGGTCCTCTAAAGCTCTTTTTTCCTCCTGCATATTGTGCACCATGGGAAATATTAAAAAATAATGTTGACTTCAGCATGTAGATGTATATATTTGTGGAAGTACATATTTGTGAAAGTAGGCTGCTGAAAATGGATGAAGAAGGTTTGAAATCAGCTGCTGACTTGGGCTGATGATGCAGTCTTGGAGGCTTAAAACCTTATGCCTAATTTTTAAAAATTACCCAGGAACAGTATTTCAAAAGTAATGAGAGCTGCAATAAGAAAAGGGTGTTTTGTGAAGCACTCAAACATGTTAGTTACCTCACATAAATGGAAGTCACAGGGAACTGGACTCTCAGCTGGCTTTCCAATATCAGTAAATGACTGAATGAATTTTTAGACACCAAAATATGTTTGAAAAATCTTTCCATGGAAAGTGAAATTTGAATTAACTGCATTGTGTGATGATTATATCTTGAATTATACAGCTGTGTTTACAAGACCCTTTCCTTTGCTGTTCTGTAAAGTGCTAACAGGGGTAAGAGAAAAAAACACAAAAACATCTTTGTACAAAAAGTAAAGGAGAAGAAAGCTCCAAGAGGGCAAAATGACTGTTAGGTGGATGCCAGTAATTCTGTCTTGTTAACTCCAGTATTCCCGAAGGGTAAGGGTGATATGTTTAGGATTTCTTCTTCAACCTAGATCTAACTACTACAGCTTTTTGGTTTTATTTTTTTAGACTAAATTATTAGTGTGCAAATTATATTTTTGAAAGTTTGAGCATTTCTTTTGAAATTTCATTACTATTTTTCCCATTGCACAATTGTTCTTATTTATCTTTTCTGACAGTCCTTGTGCACTCTTTTTCATAATGAGGTATGGCACAAAAGGATCATGGAATAGAATAACTGAGGTTGGAAAAGACCTTTAAGATCATCAAGTCAAGCCATTATAGATAGTATAACAGCTGAGGGGTTTGTTTTCACTTTTGTAGGGACTATTCTTTTTGTTTGAGGTATTTTATACTCTTTTGTATATCAAATTTTCTTCCGTTATGATAAAAAGATTGACACAATAAAATTGACGTCTTTTGGTCCGTAAAGAAACACGCCTATTTTACACTTGCAAGTATTAACTTCCTCTATTGAGTGGGCAAAATGGAAATTCAGAACTGCCAGGAGCAGTTTTGACTGATGCACACTTTCAGCCCTTCTTGGCTTCTTATGAAGCCCCCTATAATATAGCTTCCACATGCAGTGATTTCTCAATAAACTAAATAAAATATATTTGATCAAACTTCTTTTAAGGATACTCCAAAAATAGTCCACTGAGCCAAGTCTCTGAAAGTCTGTAGAGGAGTGTGAGAACTACTCATTTTGAAGTTGTATTTGCCTTATTGTCAGTATTTCCCCTACAAAGGAAGTATAAGACTAACTGTGAAATGCCAGAATGCTGGCCCAGGGACTACTGAATTAGTAATATAGGTATTTTACATGTTACTGCAATAATTATGAGATCAGTATGGTATGAAACATTAAAAAACATGCAAAGATCACATGACAAATTCTGCAAAATGAAAAAAAAAGCAAATGAACAACTCCAAACCAAACATTTGAAAAATATAGATGAAAATATGTTTTTAAATTGGCATCTTTGGGAATAATTGATTAAGCAAAAATTCTGAAATACAATACTTCGGTTCACAAAAGAATAGGCATATTTTATTTCTGAAAGAAATACCTTTCTCTTTATACTTAATCCAAAAGCAAATTTCAGATTATTGAAAATTTCCAGGAAAAGGAAAAACCTAAATGCAATCCATTTAACATTGCCTGTTCTGGTTTGCCTCAGTGACTCAAGTCTGGGCATTTTGAGCTTAGTACCAAAAGCTGAGTGACAGCAGGGACATGCACGACTGTCATGGGCAGGCCCAGCCAGCTGCAAGGCAGCAAAGCACCCCTGCTAAGCAGCGTGTAGGCGCAACATGCCGTGAAGCTGCTTACCCAGCAGGAGGATGGGACCTCAGCCCAGGAGGTGCTGAGTAACCCCAGAGGTGCTGAGCCCTCTTTTCCCAGCTTGAGTTCAATTCTTGGAGATTCCCAGCACTCTGGTGGGCTTGGCAAGCTCAGGAGCACACCAGTCATATTGCACTTTTGGAGATGAAGTATGGACTCTCCTCCCAGGTTAAGTGGCACAGCAGAACCTTTGTCTTTTTCTTGCCTATTATGGGGTGGTTCAGGTGGCCCAAGAATGCAAGGAAGGACTTACAATGCCTCTGCTGAAGAATGGAGGGACCTATTGCTGAGCAAAGTGAGAAATCCTCTTGGATTTCTCCATCCCTCACATATTTGTGTTCTTGCCATGCAAAATGAGGCCAGAAGTGGGCTGTGCAACACATCCTACCTTCACTGTTGTTTTGAGCAGCTCTCTAGTTTTTCTGGCACGGAGCATGGGTACATGGCCCTCTCCATAGTGTCAGGGAGAGCACAACCCTTAGGAAAGGAAAGGTATGACACGAGGAGACTTTGCAGCTGGTAGAATATCTGCTTCAGATATTCCTGTGGCCTAATGAATAAAACACTGTTTTTTTTTCCCAAAATTAGTATGTTACCTCTTGAATGACAAGCCATTCTTCTCCAAGTGCTGCTCTTCTGTGAACAATGTGCATGAACTGACTTCTTCACCCCTGGAAGTAAAAAAATTGGACTTTTTAAATTCAAACTAATCATTTATTCAAGCCCATATTATTTGCAGCAATATTCATTAATCTCGTCTATTATACTTGGTGCAAGGAGAAAACTGGTAATTGCATTCAAAGCTATGATAAGTTACCATTTTAATGATTCCTTATGTTGTGAGTAATTTATAAATCACTCGGTATCTTCCCAGCGAAGCTTGCCTTCTGTTTTTAAAATGTACCCTTTCGTATCCAACAAAGGGTTTCAGTGCAATAAGAATTAAGGTGTGTCTCTTAGCTTTTACCTGCAAGCAATAATGATGTTGTCAAGCATTTCAGGTGAGACCAGCCCAGGCTTTTGGGGTGGGGAAAGACACTCTGTTATACAGCATCTTCAGTGCTTCCCTCAGAGGGAGGCAGAGACACCTTGAAGGGCTGAGTATACGGACATCTACTGAGTGTCTTTTTAAACAGACACTGGAGTTGGGTGGGGGGAGGGGAAAAGGAACCATAACTCAGTTGGACTTGTATCCGAGAAGGCAGATGCCATGGATTGGCTCCCTCACCAAACGCCTGCTTTTCTGTTCCTTTTATTGGTAAGTCAGATTTTAAAACAGTATCTGTAAACTCTGTGATTATGCCAGTGGTATCTTCCTCAGCAAAGCATTGCATTTTACAGTGTAAATGACCCCTTCAAAAAAATGTAGATAAATTTAGCATAGAACGTAAAGCTGTGCTTATTTTAAACTGTGCTTCTGGAGGTTCTACACAAATAATTCAATTTTTCATTAAATGCTGACAGATTTTTAATATGATTATGACTTTCTGCAGTCTGTTGATGTTGAATCTAACTTTCTGTGTTTAATGCATGACTGTTCAGGTCAGTGTTGTCTGTGGCTGCTATTTAAGGAGTCACAGTTATTAATAAAAAAACAGCATTTAGAAAATACTAGTTATTTGACTGGATGTTATTTGGTTCTATGTCTTTTTTGGGGGTTCTATGTCTTTTTTTTTTTTTTTTTAATCAATTGAGGGAATATGAAGAGCAAATCTCTTTTTCTAAACTGATTAGCAAGAGCACTTCAGAGCTGACCAATTCCTATGTCTATATTTAAGCAAAAACCCGTGAAATTTAGTGCAGACCTTAGCTAAACAAAAATCAAGATTCAGTTTACTATTTCACTTTACAAAGATTTCCTGTCTTGTAGTGCATTCGTGTCTGAAGCGCCATGTGCTAGGCAAGTGAAGGCATAGTGAAAGTGTCACTCTTTCTTTGGGCTTGTTTTTCTCACTGTGAAAGGAAAGTTGAGGCTATAGTCAAGTGGCAAAGTTGTACAGTGTGTTTATCAGGGCACAGAAATTATCCAGACTTCTCTTCTACTCCAGCAATCTGATTTTTGTTTGGATTATTTCCACTCATTTGTGCTGCTCTTTTAAAACTAGGTAGAGGTTTAAAGCCATGAAGATTGAAAAGAATAGGATTTCTGTTTTAGTTATGTCCATCTGTGGCTTTCATTTTACACAATGTATTAGTGTAAATGTTTGGATACTTCTCGTTACTGATCCCTTTAGAAATACCATAATCGGGGAAAAAGTGTTTTTTGTTATAGAATATGAAATTCTAACACTTACTTTGAAAAGATACTCCATTAATTTTAGCTGACAGCTCTGCAGTCAGTAAAGTAGAACTAATCAAAACAGCGCAGCTGCCAAGCAAACAATGACAAACTTGGCAAAAGCAAGTTACGATTCAGATGAGCTCCTGCTTGTTTAACGCAACGCAGAGGTCTCTGAAACTGGCATGTTTCACATTGCACTAACACTTCTGGATTTTCATGTAGCATTACTACCATTCAGCTTACTCGGTTACTGGGGGATGCACACTCCTAACATGTTGAAGTTCAAAAAGAAGTTGACTGTAGTGAATCTAAGATCTGTCCATTCATAAGAGATTTTACTGCTTTACTTCACTCAAAAACTCTGAGGCCGTTTTCATTCTTTCAGTATATTATCATTACAATTGTGCTGATGAAGAATATGTGCTGGGTCAGGAAAAAGGAGTAATTGTGAAAACTGCCATTATACTTTGATGACTATCAAATATTTGAACTTTTACTACCCAGAGGAAACAATTGTTTTTCTTAACATGTGTTCTGCACAGCAGTGTTCATGGTGGCCTGTACACCACAATAACACCTTTTAGCACTTTCTGGAAAGCTGATGGACAAACTATAGAGACTAAATAAATTAGAAATTTTATCGTACTCTGAGAAACAGTCTTGGTTTTCAGCTTGATTAATCTTTCATTAAAATCACCTCTCTGAATGGTGTGTGTGGTTAGTATATTGTTAATAAGTCATACTGAATAGAATTGCTGTGGAGTTATACATATTTTAGTATTATTACACTTTCAAAAAAAAGAAAACTTACCAGTCCTGAAACTAATAATTTTCCATATGTATTTCACCATTGGTGGGACTGATTCTGCAACCCTTGCTCACGTGACTTCAAAGGCGTTATTCTCATGAGTAAGGGAGTTCTGTTTGTGATACTTGCACAGACACGTTTTATGGAAATAACTTGTTTGATCAGGTATGACTCTTCTCCTGCCAGCTATCATGTGACAGCTAAAAATTTTAAATTCACTGCATCTCTTACATGCACTTTTGTCTGGCTACATTTTCCCATGTGTTATCTATGCTGCTTCTTCCCCGCCCCTTCCCCCCCCTGCTCCCCCCCCAAAGTTATTAGGCCATGGTTACTCCTCCTACCCATACCTTCATTGCACATGAAAATATTAAGGGCCCAAATCCCCTCCTTGCATAAGCATACAAAACATCTGTCGGGATGTAGCCAGGAACCTGCAGGCTTTTCTGCCAAATAATTTTGTCGTAGAAATAGAAACTAAAGCAGTGCTGCATGCAGGAATTAGCACTTAAGATCAGGTTCTTAAATCTGCAGTTTTACATTTCTAAGTAAAAATACCCCCAAGCAAACATTTGCAGCTAGAGCACTCTGAGCTATACTAGAACTCAGGTTTTATTGAGGAGATTTTTTAAGGAGATGTAGCATGACTAATTTGAAAAACTCAGATTTGAATTGTAATATCATACACCCTGTACTGAAGTTATTTTTTTGCTTATTTTTCTAATGGTTGAGCTTAGTTACTGTACAGAAATTCATTGTTTCTATATGACTCAGCAGAACAGAGACAAGCTCAGTGAAAACCTTCCCAAAGTGATCAGTTATTTGAATAAAAAAATAAAACAAATAAAAATTGTTAACATATTTTTCTGACTGATATGAACATTGTCAGACTTCTGCTGAAATAGCAATGGATTCTTTATCCTGGATGAAATATAAAATATTTACATCGGTTGCTAAAACAGGAAGCAATGGAAACACTTCCACAGAATTAGAAAACAAAATGCTGGAAAAATAATCCTAAAAACTTCCCCTTTGCATTGGAAGAAGTGCATTTATTAGCGATCTACAAAAATGAAAAATAGAAAAACATATTCATGTTTTGATTGAAAAGTTATCAAATTACTTCTGTTTAAATATGAGATTTTGTCTTTTGTTTCAACTCTGCTTCTAATTATTTCATATGCAATGGTTTATAATTTTCTAAGGAGATGCAGAATTAATAAAGGGAAGGGTTCGTTATTTCAACCATGTACTAATCAGAGCTTTGGCTGAGTAAGAAAGATGTAAAAGTCCCAAAACGCTGACATAACCAGAGCTACCATGGCACCCTGATGACTAATATAATATGTGTGAGTTTTCAGCACTCCTCCCATCCAGGCCAATAACAATACCGGTGCTGACTTCAAAGAGAAAAGCAGATCCAATATGAATAATCCTGGGAAGATGTTAAAGGCGTGTTCAGTCATTTAGATTTGAGTAGGTGGAGGAGGGAGGATTCCGTAATTGCGTATAATATTGCTTGGCAGCCAATTAATGATTAGTTAATTCTTGTTTGTAAATTGCTTTGAAAGTACAAAGAACCATGCACATCCTATGGGCCTAATTCTGTTCCCAGTTACATCAGAATGAATCCAGAATAACTCCAGTGTGACTCTAAGGCATCATTTTGGGCACCAGGTTCAAGCTCTGTATCATTACAATAAAAAAACTTCCAGACAGACCAGTGTGCACGTAAACATGTCACCATAAGCATGAGTCCTGCCTGCAGGACAACCCAAACCAGAAACAGCTTTTGCAGCGAGCCTCTAGCTTCACTACAGAGTTTCCAATTTTCCACAGCTTCTCAAAGCAAATCTTGACATCATTCTGATGAGCTTGCCTACCCCAAGGTCCTCAGGATGTCTCCCACACATTCTAGTGGCTCCTACTGCTTTAATTATCATTACTCACTGAATCTATGGAAAGTACTGTATGTGGATACTAGTTTAGAAGGGAAGTATTTTCCACTACCCAGGAGTATGCTGGAATTAGCCACTAGGAGACAATACTTCTCTGCTGGATGTAGCACTACAGAAAAAGGGGTTGCATTGCAGAGAGATATTAGGAATAGACAAGAAGGACGAGGGGCAGTGTTTGTAACTGCTGGTCATAGTGGGAAACCAAAAAACATTAGCTGGGGAGCCAGAGAAGCCTCCATCCCTGGATCAAGACAGATAGATGTAATTCCAGAATCATTGAGGTTTAGCTGGTGAACTGGACAACTTTCTCTGGCGCCTGCCTGCCCTCCTTCCTATAACATAGCAGTACCTGAGAGACATAACAAATGCAGACATCAAGTTCATTAGATCAGCCTTCAAATAATAGCAGAAACTGTGCTAAGGGCTCCTCATTTAAAACCATCAAGACTTTGTTCAAGATCTGCTATTAGCAACACATAGCAGAATGGGTTTTTCCCTAGTTAGCATGGGACAGGTGTGGAAATATAGGGTTTAAATTTACAGTCCCCAGCATTTATGATTAAAATATTCCTGACATTTCCATTTTTGGTACTCAGAAATAAAGGATGAAACTCCAATGTAAAATGTCTATAGTGCTTAAAAAGAGAACTCTCTATAGACTGAAAGCAAATGTTTTATGAATATTCATGCCCTTAAAGAATATAATTCTTTACAGGTATGATTCTTGTTTCAGAAATACTGAACACAAGTTTTCAGTTAGGCTTGACAAGTAGGACGGTGAAGTCACTGGATGCGAGACATTAGTTTTGCTGTTAAATAACAGAATAGGCTACAGGATGCAGATAGCAGACAAGATTCACTCACATTGCACTGGGAGGTGTATACCCATGCTTTTTTGGGTCAAGATGCTTGCTTGCATGCCAGAAGGGATTTCGGCCTAAGGGTGGAGCAGATTTCATCGTATTCACCAAAGGAGGCTCTGCTCTGCTGGGGGGATTGGCTGGTAAGAGACATTGAATCAGTGATATTTCTTGTTGACTTCAGCTTTCAGGTTCTCCAATGAGGGTGAAATCTGTCTGTTCCACTCCCCCATTTTTATCCCAAGCTCCAAGGGGGATTATAAATGGACGTGCCTGAGGTCCTCACTGGGGTGAAAAAACTCCACAGTTTAAACGGAGCCTGATAGTGCCCCTTCTCTGAAACGAGTATTAGTCACCAAGACAAACACAGCATGAACATATTGCAATGATTTTTCTACAGAGTACTTTTTTTAACTACTTATGTCAGTATCTTCCTTAAAGAAACAAGAAAATAAATTCTTACTCCAATAACAGTCCTATAAATTTCAAGGTGTATGCACTCCACATGAGCAAATCCACAGTCTAAATTCCCTCATTTAGAAGCAGATTTGGGCAGCGATTGTGTGCCAGGGTCTCAGGGAATGTTCTGAGCAACATCAGATCATTGGTGACATTGCTTTTAAATGACAGATGGTGGACTTCTTAGAGCATAAAAGTAAATGGGGAGAAGGGGGAAGGGAGAAGAAGGAGGATGAAGCTGCTGTTTATTAACCTGTTGCATGTAAAAGGTTGTTCTAACATGTAGTATGTGGAAAAACTCTGTGCCTGTGTTCCAGCCTTGACAGAACAATGTGATAAATATGAAGTGAGGAAAGTCCCATGAGGTAAAGCTAGCACAAAGAAAAAAGATTGTCACAGATTTTACCCGAATATAACAGACATAAAACCCACCAGATCAAACATGTCAGACAAAAATGCTGCTCAGCTCTGCAGATGCCCCTGCTCTGGCAGGGGGGGTTGGACTAGATGATCTTTTGAGGTCCCTTCCAACCTCTAGGATTCTATGATTCTATGAAAAATAAGATCATTGAACAGTACCAGGAAATTATAAGGAAAGTGTAAAATTGCTAACTACAGATTTTAACCACATTTGCTCAGAAAAAAACAACACTCTGCAACTCTTTTTGAGTCACTTGCCTATTTTATTTCTCCCATTGATGAATGAAACAAGTATCCAGTCCTGCAAATCCCATATTCTTTACCCTTTATCTTCCAAAGAGAGCAGAGGCAGGTCTTAAACACAAAAGAGATTCTCTGAAGAGATACATTCATCAAATGAACTTCATTTTCACCCCTTATTTAGGAACAAGGTTAATTAAAGTGTGCCTTCTTTTAAATTGTGCTAATCAGGAAATTGAGAATTCTATATTACTTTAATTTTGAAGTATTATAGATTGTGTCTGATCCTGCCACTTTATTTACCCAAGACTTTGGCTGCATAGTTAGACCTCAAATCAAAACTCACTGCACTCCACGGAAATCAGCCTGATGACTGCAATTGGCTTTCCATCTTCAGCTGAATCTCTTTAACCTCAGCATAAAGTTTCAAGAAAACATATTCATTCTCTTTGGTTAAACTACATAGTTAAGTACTACTGGTCTTGCAAGCATTTATCTCTTCAGTTGAGGTATTAAAACCTAAAAATCTGTGGCAAGACTGTATTTTGTTGAGGACAGAAACTCAAAGTTCTGCCTTGAAAGACAGAACTAATTTTGAGGATTAAAAAAAAAAAAAAAAAAAGCTGCCAAGGAATTCAAGTGATGGATATGGAAAAAAAGAAATGGACAAAGTCATTTCTGGAAATCCTGTAACTACTGACTAGATAGGCTATTACAATAGACTTGAGAAAAAATACTACTCTGGTCCTGCAGCATAGCAAAGTATGGCAGTTGGGTTTTGCTTGCCGTGTTTTGTCCTGCATTCTTATTGCCAATCTTACTGTTCTTACAGGTACTCTTGGATTTCAGCACAGGATTTCATGTACAGGTAATATATATTTCTTTAGAAACTGATTTTCTGATCAAATGATATGTAACCAATGCAAATATGAAATGGAAAGTACTGAACAAAGACATTTCTGAGCTTGAAGTTTGCAAACATATTTAAATATTAAACAGTTGCAGGTAATAGCCTGCTCACCCTCTCAAGAAACGTTTCTCCTGAACCTAAATGAAGATCTCGTACACAGAAATAATTTTAAAGTAAAAAATATGCAGTCTTAGATTTTAGAACTCACAGACATATAAAAAAAGCACATGATCTATTAAAATCCCTTTTCTCGTTATCGTTGAAAATTCTAAGTGTCTGTATTAATTTAAAATGGATTAAGGTTACTGGTCACATGATTCTGGAACTCTGTTAAAGGTAAAAGAATGGGATGAAAATGGCATGGCAAGATGGAAAACCTTCAGAAGACAAAAACGTGAATGGATCAAATTTGCTGCAGCTTGTAGAGAAGGAGAAGATAATTCTAAGAGGAATCCAATTGCTAGAGTAAGTAGAAAAACAGAAGTGTTCACTGTCAAGGAATTTTTTCTAAAAACAGGCTGATAAAAGCAGAGACATTTAAAAGTATATTTGCTTAGAGTAGTCAAAGCAAGGAATGTAGAATAAAAGAAAGATGATGCAATATTTCCAGCTCTGTTGAGACAGTTTCATAAGGTGAACCCATGTGGCTGCTGAGAAGTGACAAAAGGCTTCCCACAATATTGCCATTGGTCTACTTCCTTGACAGATCCAACCATAGTCCCTTCATGTGCAGCATCTTTGTACTAGATTGTGACCTTTTTCTTTTCTTTCTCACCCTGAGAAACCCCTGAGAAGAAATTCAAGGGTAGTACATGACTTATGTGGGCAACAGAGCAAAGAACATATATTCCTATGTTCTCATCATGTTCATACCCTTACTGAAGTCCAGCCACAGTGTGATGCTCTTTGAAGTTTCTCTCTCTGATTCCCTGGCAGAAGACTTAAGAGAAATAGAAAGCCTGTGCAGCCTTAATTGGAGACAGATCTCTAGGCTGACTTCTTTGTAGAAGAACCTTCCATCAGTTGTGTCAACTGAACCTTGCGTTGAGTGATTGAAAAACTTAAATTATCTAGAAATTTTTGCAGGAACTAATGATAGCAAAAAAAGCCCTGCAGGTGTCCTCAGTAAACTGGCATAAATACTTCTTGTCTACTGTTGTAGATACGTTCAGATTGTGAAGAAAACAATCCAGTTACATACAGCATCTCAGGAGTTGGAATTGATCGTCCTCCCTTTGGAATATTTGTTGTTAATTCAAGAACAGGAGAAATTAATATAACATCAATAGTGGATAGAGAAGTAACTCCAGTGTTTGTTGTAAGTACTTGCCTTTTACTTTTGCCTTTATAATTATGGATCCAGAGTGGGACCAGGAGAGCAGAAGGAGACAAAATAATTTTTCATATTGTTACTACTTTTCTTACTTTACTTTTTATACTAAAATAAGTAAATTTCTTTATCTAGATACGTTGCTTTGCCAAACACTCAGTGACGGGTATAGATTTGGAAGAACCTCTCGAACTTCGAGTCAGAGTTCTGGATATAAATGATAACCCTCCTATATTTGCACAAACTGTATTTACAGGATCTATTGAAGAAAGCAGTATGGACAGTAAGTAACAATGTAATGCCTATTATAACATAGCCAGTGAAGCTCCCAGAATGCAGTTACTATAAACCTGGGGTGCTCATTCTACATTTTCTTAGGCAATGACATCTGTTGGCCAGGGCTACTGTAGAGGAAGGAGTGGTGGATGCTTCTCCACATGCTATTACAGCTCGTCGCCCAAAGTTAAGCAGAGATGCTCCCTTTCCCCTTTTCTCCCACACACAGATGCTGAATGTTCCAGCTTCTGGCCATACCATCATGCAACATCTTTCAGATTTGTAAATTTAAAATAAATCGGTTCATTCCTTCTCGTTTAAAAAATAATATATTTATTATATATATATATATTTTAACATTACACCTACACTTATTTCCTTTATAAAATGCGGTTTTCCCCATTTTTTCTATTTCAAATGTTTGTATTTGTAGCATGAGTATTGCAGTTGCAGAACAACATTACTAAATAAAGCCTTACTCAAACCTCTAAAATGGTTATTTTTTACCAAAAGTACAGTAATCAACATTAGATATATTAATAGCACTGAGGCAATGCTGCCTAACACTTATTTTCTACTTTCTAGACATTTTAATGTAAAATGATGGCAATTACTTATATGAATATCTACAATCTCAGTACTTTCCGTTTTTTACATATTCCCTACGGTGACTTAAAGCAGTTCAGTGAAAATCTGGATTGCTCCATCTGACCTTAATTTTTAATGCATTTTAAAGTAATTAATACTCAGGTAGAATCAGTACTACAAAATTAAACTTTTGTTTTTCTGTGTAAATGTCAGTGAATAGCTAGCATCATATCATTCTTACACACCAAATTTTGGCATTGTCTTGATGAGTTGTTTGCAGGAACAAAACAGGGTTTTTTTATTTGTTTCTTGGTTTTTAATTATTTTTTATTTTTATTTTTTTTTAGACACACTGGTGATGAAAATAATTGCAACAGATGCAGATGAGCCTAATCACTTGAATTCAAAAATTGCCTTCAAGATAGAGAGTCAGGAACCTTCAGGTCCACCCATGTTCATTATGAATAAGTATACTGGAGAACTCCATATTGCAAATTATCTTGATAGAGAGGTAACATTTTCCTTTCCAAACCTCATTAAATTGATGTTGTGATGTATATGTGTTATAAAGTGTGTGGGGAGGTAGGAGTGCGGCACTGAGGAAGGGGTGTAGAAAAAAGGAAAAATATTGGGTTTTTTACAAAAACTAAGGGAGAAATGCATTTTTTTCTATGTGTTAAAATAAAATGTCTAAGGCAAATTCCAGCATGAGGAAATACAGACAAGACGTGAGTACTTACAGTGTCTAAGACGTACAGGTGGTCCTTCTAACACACTCATTTCTCTTTCTGTGACAGCAACATAGTAGCTACACTCTTGTTGTGAAGGCATCTGACCGGGATGGAGCTGCAGATGGAATATCATCTCTTTGCAGTTGCAATGTTAAAGTTATTGATGTCAATGACAACTTCCCAACTCTTGCTCAAAGCTCCGTAAGTTTTTAATACCAAAGGCAACACCACTGTTTTAAAACTGTGGTCAAAAACTGAGTTGGTAACACAGTCCTTGCTAACCCATAGAGCATTTTCACATTTGAATGTTCCACTGGGATTGTTTCCTTGAAGTGTGCTCAAAATCCAATCTGTTGCTTTATACACCAATTCTAATAACACAAATACATGTAGATTGTTTTTGTATTGAGAGAAGGCAATTCTGACACTGACTTTTTTACTGTAAGAGTGACAGAGCACTGGAACAGGCTGCCTAGGGAGGGTGTGGAGTCTCCTTCACTGGAGACATTCAAAACCCACCTGGATGCATTCCTGTGTGATGTGCTCTAGGTGATCCTGCTCTGGCAGGGGGGGTTGGACTACATCATCTTTTGAGGTCCCTTCCAACCCCTAGGATTCTATGATTCTCTGTATTCAGGTCATTCAGGTGCCCAGACCCGAGCAATATGGCCAGGTCACATAGAATAACCCAAACTTTGTGCGATCTTTTCTTAAAAAAAGCACAAATCTATTTCCTCTGAGCTGCCTCTGCAAACACTCAAGATGATACAGCTCTTCAGAGCTGCAACCAGAATCACAGTTTACCCAAACAAATTATTTTTAATAAAATGGTATGGACTGTGGGCAGGACATCCTTCAAAAGAATCTCTTCAGTGAACTGTGTTTTCATCACATTACATATCTTAGTGTTTGCTAACAGCTCTTCATCTATCATTCCAGTTTTCAGCAAGTATTTCAGAAAATTCACTCAGTTCAGAACTGCTACGAATACAAGCTCTGGATGCTGATGAAGAGTTTACAGACAATTGGTTTGCAGAGTTTTTCTTTATATCCGGTAATGAAGATAACTGCTTTGAAATTGTTACAGATCGGGCTACAAATCAAGGAATCCTTAGAGTAATTAAGGTATGGATAAATATTGTGATTCAACTGTTGCAATAACAATCTTAATATAGTTTCAATTAATTGTTAAAACAATTAAATGAGCAGTAAAAATGATGTCACTCAAGCATTTGAAACAGGTAATATTTAAATAAAATTTAAGGAACTTTAATTTATTTTCTAGTTCTCTGTGGTTTATCTTTTAGGAACTGAATTATGAACATATCTCCACTCACTCACTGACTATTGGTGTCAGGAACGTAGCTGCCTTCCACCACTCTGTTGCGCAAGACTACAGAATATCTGGAACACCGCTCACAATACAAGTAAAAAATGTGATTGAACCACCAAGATTTCATCCAACTTCAGTTGTGTTTTCTGTACCAGGAAGCACCAGAGCAAATTATGTTGTGGGAACATACACAGCCATCGATGAGGACACAGGAGCTATTGCATCAAATGTTGTGTAAGCTCTCCTCTGCTTAACTGTCTGGTTGGAATAGTTCTTCTAATTGAGAATTCAATCGGATGAAGAATAGGTCTTTTTAAAAGTGCATTAAAAAACAATTTAAATGTATCAGTAGATTAGCAACAGAATAATAACAATAGAATAGTATATTCCTCAGCCCAATGTTTTGTTTCCTAATCTACTTTCCTTAGCCTTGTGCACAAGAAAAATGAGATAGAAAATATATTTTTTCTAACAGGCTGTAACTTAAATAAATCCGAATAGACTTTTTTTCTAGCCTAAGTCTAGAAAAGTTGCTACAAATAGGGAATCTGTAAGCACCTCTAAGGGAGCAAGTAGAAAACTCCGAATATTGGGTGATATACTATCAGAATAGAAAAGGATACTACCAGCTTATTCTACAATTAAAAAAAAAAATTCTGCTGAATTTAGTGATCATTATTGGGACCATAATTTGCTTTTTAATTTATCTAGAAATAAATATATCAAATTTACAAAGGTTTTAAATTTTTTCATAAACCAGAGAAACATGTTAGCAAATACAACTGTAGAATGATATAGAAAAAGCTGTGGGTTTAATTACTGATATCAATAAGGGTTCTAGTAAAGGTTTACATGGTCCTGATATATTTTTCTCTTAGTTTAAGATACTGCTTTTGAAATATAATGGAATGTTAAGCCTTTACTTTATTCTGAATTATTTTCCTAGTCTGCGTCTTTTGAAGCCTAAAGGAATTTTGCTTGAACAAGGTGAAATGCAATAGGACCTAGCACTGCTTAGAGAAAAAAAAATTGAAAGTGACAAATATTTGCAAAATTGATATGTAATATGTGTATTTATAACATAATGCTGAGTGTTTTTACTTCACCAAATACAGGTATAGTATAGGACGTGATCCAGGTGCCTGGTTCAGAATCAACCAAAATACTGGTGAAATCTCACTGAACAAAGTTGTTGACTGGGAATCAGTCTATGTAATTAATGGACAGTACAAAGCAGAGGTTCTGGCTATCACCAGAGGTAAGAAAAGAGATTAAATTTTCTGAAACTCTTTGTTCCAATTTTTCTCACTGTTCTTTTCCTGTTCCTAGTTTTCACACATGAACTGCATTATTTATGGTATCCATATTCCCTCCTGACCACAAATACCTTCTTTTTACAGGGGTTCCTCGATATACTGCTACTGGCACTATTGTGCTTTCAATGCATGACATCAGTGACAATTGCCCAACTATTAGTACTGAATTAAGGAAAGTATGTATGCATTCCCCATCAGTGGTTATCACAGCAAAGTCTATGGATGGTAGTCAGTATGGTGCCCCCTTTACATTCAGCATACATGGTGAACCTCAAACTACATGGATTATCAGATCAATAAATGGTAAATTAACCTGCATTTTATAACAGAATAAACCATAGCAATAAGCTCTTATCTAAGATAACAGATTATAATAACCTTTCAGTTACAAATAAAACAGTTATTAGAAACAATTATAATCTTACTTAAGTGTGATTTTATGCTCATACAAATTCAGGAAGTTGCTCTGAACTTGCACATATATGTATATATGCATATATGTGTGTGTGTGTGTGTGTGTATATATAAACCACATTAGAACTAGAATCAGAATCATTACATGTGTCTAATCTAGTTATCATCTTCTAAAGAAAATTAAGACCACCATGATAAAAATAGAGCAGCAAAACTGTACTTTACTTGAGTGTTGCTATGATATTCCCCTGTATTGGTTTAAATTTAATGTGATAATTAAAAAGGAAAAGCTTGATACTCTTTTATTTCTACATCTAAAAAATTCAAAGCATATGACAAAACTCTTAAGTTGATTTATTAGAGTATGAAGTTATTAGTTAGCAGAGCTTCACTTATATGAGAGGCATATGAAAATGGCAAATAAAGATTACGGCTTATGTAATTTATTGTACAAATTATACTTACTTATTTCTCTAAGAAAAACATTTTAGCTAGTGCTCAGTGGAGCTTTTCCAGTTTCAACCAGTAGGACATGCCAGACTAACAAGTTAATCATTCATTACTAAATGTCAGAATTTGCATAACTTACTGTATGCATAGAAGGCTATGTTAAATGGTAAATATCACATTTACAACTACTCTTGTGTCTCCTATTTGTCCTAAACAGGTGGAAATGTGTAACTTTATTTTAAAACCACTGAAAAACACTTTTGAAAAACACATGTAAATTCCTTGTGAGAGAAGAAAAAAAAAAAGCATAAAACTTTTTTATGTTTACACTTGTGCAAACAAAAAACAGGGGGAAAATGCTGTAGGTATGCATTTGCCCCTTTTATGTTTCTCAGGTTAAAAAGAGATGACTAGACTGATCTGTCTCAAAAAAAAAGCTAGCATAGACGAATATCATAAGTTTCAACTTTGAATAAGGACCGTAGAAATATAAGTAACTGAAGATTTTAGACTGGCAACATTTAGTCTCCATTCTGTTCTATGAACATTACTCACAAAAAAAAAAGCATAGATCTGTATGGTATTTATAGTAATACCTTAATCTAAATATGTTTCTCTTTTTTTTTTCTCCAAAGCTTCCTCTGCAGAACTAGTGAGTCAGAACTTTGATTTTTACCTGTATAGGGTCTATATCAGCGTCAGAGATAGCCAAGGCCGACGCTGCCTTAAACCACATGTAATTCCTGTGCAAGCTTGTCAGTGTGACAGTCGTAACTACTGCACCAGTGGGGCCACAAAAATAATTATCATCGGTGGTGGCGGCGCTGGTGGTGGTGGCGCTGGTGGTGGTGGTGCTGGTGGTGGTGGCACTGGTGGTGGCGGCATGGGTGGTGGCGGCATGGGTGGTGGCGGCATGGGTGGTGGCGGCACTGGTGGTACTGGTGGTGGGGGAGATCAGACAGGTGGAGGAGGGGCAGAAGGTGGTGGTCCTAGTGAGTCTGGACCTATAGAAGGACAAACTGATGAGCAGACTGAGTGGCCGACTTACACTGATGCATATAGTGATAGTGAAGGATATACAGGAGTCACTGGTGATTATAATGGAAACGGATATTACGGCAGAGATACTACATCTGCTACCACACTCAGCGGTTCTGCCATTGGTCTGATGTTTCTCGGTGGATTAATATTTGTTCGTAAGTATAAAATCAAGAAAACCATTTTATTAATTTTCTAAAAAGTCCATTTTTAAATTCTAAAATAAGGAGATTTTTCTGGTTGGTTGTTAACCTCTTGGCTCCCATGGGCCATTTGACACAGGAAAAATTGTCCTTTAAATTATAAGAATTTCTATATATTTTATATTCTACGTATTTTTATATATATTTCACTTAGAAAGAACTGTTTCCTTCCTAAGATTCAGGGTTTTGTTTCTAAGGTGTAATCCAGTTCTCAGACAACCAGTCAGGGCAAAAGTGTTTAGGAGAAGATTCAGAAGATTCCAGGCAAGAGATCCCTGTCACCTACACTTCGCAATTTGTATTTCTGTTACATTACTAAAAGACATGGACAAGTATCAGCTTCAATCTGAGTATGAAAAGATGTATAGAATAAGTTTCCTTTGAACTCATAGACAGATTTCAGTAAGTAGAGCAATAAATGTAATTGCCTTATGTTTTTAACCTTTTGGCTATTGCTGCCAAATATTACATTAAATAATGTAATATTATTAGCATATTAGCATGTAATATTATTAACATATTAGCATATTAGCAGATATTATTATTATAATATTAATAGAAGTAGCATTTGTGACAACAGTATCAAAACAGATAGTTTCTTCTCATGTTTTAGTATTTTTTAAGAAACATGAGTTTCAGGGATAAGAATTAGTCTTTAAAGTTAGACTTTATGCAAGCAATTACTTCTCAGACCATGACAATCGGATGTGATTGTCTTTCCTTTATGGCCTGGGCATCAAGCAATCAATGTCTAACATTTCCCAATGCATAAGTACTGACTACAAAACCAGAGGAAACAAGTTTTTCTGCTGATTGAAGAGGGAAATTTGTTTGGGGTTTTGATCTTTGACTAGCAGGAATCAATGAACACCGAGTTTTGAAGCTGCAAAAGCCTGGTTTGTTTGTAGTTCCCAGATGGTTAATATTATAGGACAGACAGCATTTCTGTCTTTGGAATTCTTTCCTAGTTAGTAGTCTGGACTAAACATATCCTTAGTTGTGCAGTGTGAGGTAGCACTTTGTACACTGTGTAGCCCTTTCCAACTTCAGTTCACTTTGCTGTTAAACAGAGTTTTAGACACTCTCCTTACTCTGGTGCAGGCGACTGTCCCTCTGTGTTCCCTCTGCAGTGGTACAACGCTACTAACTTAGCCATTCAGGTTAAGGACCTAAAGACAGGGAGAATTAATATTGCAGTGCCTTGCTAAAATGAGTGATGTTTTCAATGTTGATGTTTAAAGCATTCAGTACCTTTCAACACTGAGTCCATGAAACAGCTAAACACTGGGAAAGCTGACTCACTCTATGTATTCAATTGTTAAAACTGGGGTTTGGGATTTGCCTCTACTGTTTTTTCAAATCAGGTATTATATATATGTGATCTGAAAACGTGAATGGAGGCTTAGCCAAAGATCACTATAGCCAGGTGAATACCCCTCCACTGATTCTCATGTCTATTATTACTGATGTGTATTTCTTTTCAATTACTACGTCTGAAGAGACAAATGTATGCTTATATATCAAGAATGAATTCCACCAAATGCTATATGTAGCAAGACTGGTTCTGTTTGTTCTGTTTCATCTGCAACTTATATTCATTCAACTGAGATAGATCAAAGTTTGTTCCCAGGTGTATAGGCATGAATTTGGAGTAACAGCCCTACTCCACCCCTGCTTTGCTCTGCTATAACTAAAGGTACAAATTATTCTGAATTTGCAAATACATACATTTCCAAAAGCAGCTAATGATTTTAAGAGCTACACTTGCCAGCTGCTTGGTTCAAAATATTTTAAAACATATTTTCAAAAGTCCTTGATCACCTGCCCTCTGGGAAAAGCAGCTATTCCTGGAGGAAGAGATTGTCCTAAATCCCTGTTTTCTGTTTCTTTCCTGTTAAGTGATTCCAATTTTGATGTCAATGAGCGACTGTTGTGGCTGTGGACCCGGTGCTGCAGGTGGAGTTGGAACTGGATTTGAACCTGTTCCTGAATGCACAGAAGGGGCAATTCATCCATGGGGAATAGAAGGTGCACAGCCTGAGGACAGGGTCAGTACACTCCACATTTCTAAAACTTGCAGTAACACCTATTTACAGAAAATACTTCATTTGACTTGAAGCATGCAAGTGATAGTAGTATTGTCTCGTCAGCTAAAAAAAAGCCTGGCATTGTCAACCGTTCCCAGGCACACGAAAGGTGATTCTTAATAAACATTTGTAGTTGGAGTTTGTGTGGTTTAAGTTATGCTCAGTTAGTTTAGCCCAACAGTTTTGTGTTACTAGTCCCTCAGCTGAAACACAGTAACTAACAGGCTTTTTCAGTGCAGAGTGGGAGAAGCTGACACAATTAACCTTCCCTGATCACCTTTTAACTTGACAATGAAAAAAAATCATATAGGGTCTCTTTTGGGGTATTGTGAGTTTTTGTTTGTTTTTATGGAGATGGTAGTTAATAACTATCATGAACATTTTAGACTGCTAGTTCCTTAACACAATTCACAAAGTCTGGGTCTTCATATGCGAATTTCAAAGTTATAATTTAAGGAGTCAAAATGTTGTTTTCCAGGATGTCTCACACATTCTTGGCCCAACAACAGCTCCGGGAGGTGATTTTTGTGAACCCTCTGGTAAGCAGATCCTACAATTTTCTCTGTAAAACATCATAAAGCTATCTTTCAGAACTTTGTCTTCTGATTCAAGGAGCGCTTTGGTTTCTCAGCTACAACCCAACCCTTCCAAACCTTTATTTACAAATAGTCAAAAATATGGTAGTAGATCTTCCAGGATGAAGGATCTGAGGTTTAAGCCTTTGAGGAGATTAATTCCTGCAAAATCCATTTATTTTGAAATATCTGTCAAGGCTTTCAAATCTCAGGTAGTTTTTCTTTATTAGTGCAACTAGTGAATGGAGTGTTTTCAAGGCATCAGTTTTAGTAGAACTCAATTTTGAGGCTAGAATAAGGACATTTTACTTTCTAGGTTGGTGGTGAAAGGTTCAGCTCATCCCAGTTTCCAGGCTCCACTTCCCACAAGGGGGAAAAGGACCAGTCATGTAGCCATTTAATTATTGACCATTTGTGCACTAGCCTAGACAAAAAGCTGATAGATAGCATACTGCATTTATGCTTCTGAGGTAAGGTTACCCAAATAATTTGACGGCAAGAGAGAATAAATCAAGCTCTGCAGTGCCACTTTCTCACTTTCCCCATTCCTTACTCCAAAACAGGAAGGTAGGTTCCTAGCACAGATTCATTTTCTCTATCTTCTGACAGGAAGAAATGTCACTCTGCAAGACAGAGCTTCAGTGATTACTGTTGATTATTTAAAAATGTTCTCATCCTTAAGGTAAAATCAAATGAGAGCATTTGGGGGCACAAATATGAATTAAGAGTCTTCATTCTCATGGAAGTTCTGCTGCCAGGAAAATTTAAAATTTTAAGATGTTATTTACTTTATATGTGGAGAAGATAAAATCTTGTGTGACTTTATCCTTTATAGTAAAGATCATTTTCATTCTGCATTATGAGCACTGGTGATTATTATTATAATCAGTTGTTTTCTCCCCAATCTCACTTGCAATCTAATGAATAGAAAATGTGAAATGAGTTACAAAGCTATTCCTTTTAGAAATGAGTTTAAGGCAAAACAATGCTAACCCTGAAGTGATCATAAATATACATTATGTATTTGCGTAAGTATTCATAAGCATGATCTGATTTTTTACTGCAAATCCCAAGACAGCATATATGTACACCAGACAGGAATTTCTTCAGCCAATTACACAAGTAAACCATAGATTTCCTAAAGCACATATGCACATGCAGCCTAGCCTCAAGACTAAAAGTCAAGGTCTTAGATGTCTAGTAATGTGCACATAATTCTTATTGCAGTTTCAAGGTTTTGCACATGTGAATGGATCCATGACTGAAATTAGTCTACAATACCTTTAGAAACTCTGTAGTGTCATTGTCCTATTTGTAAGAACAATGGCAAATCCTGTGCAAATTTTCACAGAGCACAGGAAGGATAGTTTCTTTTTCTGCTTTCAGATATATATACAAACACATATGGAGGAGGAGGAGTAGTAGCTTCTGGTGTTGAAGAAACTACAGGAGTTGGCTATGGCACTGGTACTGGTTATGGAACAGCTGGAGGAATTTCTGGAGCAGGAGAAGTAAAAGGATCAGTTGGAGGAACAATAAAAGAGTACCGAGAAGGAGGGGTGAACATGGCGTTCCTAGATAACTACTTCTCTGAGGTAAATACCTGATCTTCCTTGTATTCTGTGAGCCTACTCTTAAATTCTCTTCCTCAAGTTACATAGTGGAAATCCACAATAACTCCACTCAAATTGAAACTTCCATGATATAAGACTGCTGTAAGAACAAAGCTGACTATACTAGTAGGAAAAACTACAACACTAGTAGTAGATACTAGCTGCTGGCATAGTGGTTTTGATTACTCAATACACTTTTTGTAAAACTGATGGACACAGTACAGTTATGAATATGCAAGCAGTTAGATTATTTCAGCTTCGTGACAACCAAATGTATATATTTGCCATCTTTTTTAGTGCATATATGGACAATAACTTTGTGAAATTGTTCACATGTACTTCCTGTACAGCTTGTTGAATGAAGTGACTTTGATCCTTACAGAACTGTGAACACCAGTTCACTTCCTGCTTTATTTTCATAGCCATTTCTGTTCCCGAAAAGACTTGTGAACTGCAAGTGGCACAAATATGTAGTTTTGTAATTGGTTACATAATAATTAGGCTTTATATATGGGATTAAAAAATTATGTGGAATTTACATGATTAAGATTAAGTGTGATGTCTTTTCGTAATTAGCATGAGTTGTGAGTCATGAATACTATAATTGCATATGTTACCAGAATACCAATTCACATATAAGAATTGCTGTATTTTAAAATCTAAACATGATTCAGTGGAGGAGAGAACAGAGCAGTCCTGAAGTCCTGAGCACGGACTTCTGTCACACTGCCTATGCATTAACTGTCTGCCAGACACGGGACGTCAGAGATTACCACTCCTGCTGACCATATCAATGTCCAAATGCTCTGCCTTCTCCTCCTGAGCCTCCCCCTGTCCTTCACTGCTTCCTCCAATGTCGCCTCTCACTCATTTTAAATTCTCCTCTTTCCTGACCAATCACTCTGTGCTGACTCCCTTACCATCCCCAAGGCCATCACAAATCAGTGATCTCCATACTACTCAAAACAGATTCCCAAGCCTTTCTCACTGTGACCTCTGTTCTGGCCTCTCCACTGTTTCCTGCTTCACTCCTCTTCCTACCACTTCATCTGGACGTTGCTACTCAAAGAGTACATTCATTCCCCCACCCCATTTGCTCTCTCCCTTCACCCCACAGTCAGACCCACTGAGAGCAGACCAAATTTGAGATGCTAAGTGTTTGCAGAAACAAGAATAAGATATCAGTAACATATGAATAAAAGTTATTTCAAGGTCACCAAAATGTTGATGATGTAATTTACCCAGCTGATGCCCTGTTTTTCAAGTCAGCCAGGCCTCACGCACTGCAGTTGAGGCACTCTTATTATGGTTTGAGTCTTCATGGTTAAAAACCTGATGGGAAGTCACTCAATTCTACTTTTTTTCTGATTTTTCAATCTACAGAAAGCATTTGTGTATGCAGATGAAGATGAAGGTCGGCCAGCAAATGACTGCCTATTAATATATGATCATGAAGGAGTTGGTACCCCTGTTGGCTCTGTGGGTTGCTGCAGCTTTATTGGAGAAGATATAGATGAAACATATTTGGATACATTAGGACCAAAATTTAAGACGCTGGCAGAGATCTGTCTGGGCAAAGAAATTGAACCTTTCCCTGATGTCAACCCACCCTGGTCAGGAGTTAACATCACCTTTCCCAATCCTGAAAGTGATCTAAACCTCCCGCCACCTGGAACCACCATAATTGTCAATGGAAGTGCACCTATGCCTCCTCCAGTTGGCACCACAACAGTTGTTACTGAAAACACCTACACATCTGGGTCAACCATACAACCCCCAAGACCAATGCCAGATCCCTTGCTTCACGGCAACATGACGGTGACTGAGACCTACACCTCTGGCTCCCCCTCTCTCTGCGTTGACCCTCTGAGAGCATCCAACGTTGTTGTAACAGAAAGGGTTGTTGGTCCTGCATCTGCCTCTGATTTGCGTGGCATGTTAGATATCCCCGATCTCACAGATGGGTCCAATGTTATCGTCACAGAAAGAGTTATTGCACCTAATTCCAGGCTCCCAACCTCCCTGAGCATTCCTGATTTGGTAGATGGGTCAAATGTGGTGGTGACAGAAAGGGTGTTCAGGCCTGCCTCCGGCATGCCAGGCAGCTTAATAAATATTCCCTCGGAGTTATCAAATGCCCACAACGTGGTGGTCACTGAGAGGGTAGTGTCAGGGTCTGGGATGAGCAGCCTGGGGGGAACAAGCCTAGGTGGAGCAAATCTGGGAGGCCTGGGCAGTGCAGGTCAGATGCTTAGTGCTGACTGTCACCTTGGCCAGGCAATTGGCACAGCATCCCCTGGTACCTCCCGGAGAAGAGTGACAAAGTACAGCACTGTGCAGTACTCCAGTCAGTAAGGCCTCTGCCAGCGCCCCTTCCCGCCAAAATCGCCACCTGCACCAACACTAATTAGCTGCCACCACAGTCACCAAGAATATTATTATTATTTATAACTAGGAAATAGCACTAAAAGTTTCAGGAATTCCTGTATGTGTGAGGATCTCTGAAGGGTGCCCCCATTCAAGGTCAAATGCAGAACTTTGTCAGTGAAGGGAAAGTTGAAGTTAGATTGAAATGGATTTCTTTCTCTACACCTACCACTACAAGTGTACAAGCCGGTACCAAAGTTTTTGGAGATAGACCTGATGACCAAGTGGAGCAGTGAGAGGGGGTCCTTGTGCACATACAGTATCCTCATGACTAATGCCATATAAAAAAAGTGTTAAAATACTGTACTGCTGAGTGATGTCCAACAATAAGTAGATTTGGGTTAATAGCCCCTCACTGACAAGACAGGAAAAGAATGTAATAAATAATGAGTCAACTCAAGACTAAGTAAGCACTTTCAAATGCATCACTTTACTTGCAAGTTGTTCAACGAGTGCTACCAAATGGCACTTTCAATCATTTCTCCCAACACCAGCAACAGTTATAAATAGTAATCATATAAACACAATACATCTTCATCATTTTCTGAAGTTCTCAGTAAAACAAACACTCTGCCAGGGCCTGCCATGCTGGTACTCTCATGGCGAAGAGCGTGACCAGCAATTTGTCGCAGCCGGCGCTGTCACATCGACAGTGTCATCCAGGAAGATGTTGGCTTCATCTTTTCTCCACTACCATTACAGCTTAACTTCTATCTAAAAGGACTTCAGTGACAACCAGCAGCTCTTAGGCAAATTTTTGTGCCAAAATATGACTGCCATTAAGTTTCCAAGTCAGGTGACATTAAGAGCGCTATAACATACTGTACCAGTTCTCTTTTCTACTGCCGACAAGAAAATAAAGTCTTAAAAGCTTTGTGACGCGGGGAGGCAATAGCAAGTATTGTACCGCTGACACTGGTAGCTGAAGTCTTTCATAAAAAGAAAAAGGCACTTGGGAGCAATACAAATTTGCTAATAAGCAATGTGGTGAATTGTTATTTCATATGTCAATGTATTTTGCATTGATATTTTGAAAGTTTATTTGATGTGTTAATTGAAAAAGTCTTTATGATTCTATTATCTTAATTAAATCTGGCTTTTATTTTCCCACAAAACCAGCTCTACTGAACTCTGTTATTCTAAAATACCTTAACATGACTTAGAATATGATCTGAAGGAACAAAATACTGATAATACAGTATCTATCTCATTTTACTTCTGTATCATATGTATAGTAACCATAGTGGATGCAACGTTGCTTCAGTGTAAATACAGTAAAGTTATACAGAGGCACTAAGGTTTTTTGCTAGACAACCAGATCTGTAGTTTTCCCTCAAATTTTGCTTCTTCAGCTTTGATGGATAGGTTAGTGAAAAGTTTAAGCATTGTCTGTGAACCTCCCACTCTATAAAATGGAACTTTCAGAAACTTCCAGTTGCATCTCCAGACTAACTCACACCAGAAGAACTGGATGACAAATTTTTGAATCTGGTATCAGGAAAAGACTTTTTAAAATACTCTTTCAGAAATACAACTACGTGCACTGTAAAAGACAACCTGTAGTGCCTTCTGAATCAATGCCAAAGCCATTAATACTAGGAGTAATGACCAGTAATCCCCAGGAGTCATGACCAAATCCAAGGCTACCCAGAGAAAGGGTCCCTTCCCATAGCTTCAAGATTTTTTCTGAAGCAACTGAGTGTGCCAGATGGTCTCCCCACAATACCAAAGTATTGATATTTTTACTCCATCCTGTAGCTTTTATTACCTTAAGTATCACCAAAATTGCATTAACTTCAGTGGGATTAGTCTCTTCTACACATTGCATACAAACTGTAAGCATGGTTTCTGGAACCATTCTTCAAATAAAGAAAATATGGACTAATATACAAAACTGTACCCTTTTATATCTGGAAAATTTGTGCAGAAATTCACTAAAATGCCGACAAGTTTATTTTCATTTTGCTAACCACCTATTTACATAAAAAAGCAAATATTTTAAATATGTATGACTCTCCCTACATTTAGGAAGCCTATGCAATATAGCCAAAGCCCATTTTTAAATGTAAAATACTGAAGTCTTGTGTAAATATTTCTATAATCACCTTTTGCAAATCAGAAATATTTTTCCTAATTGTGCTTGCAAGTAATATCTAGTCTTCAGAAGAACATGCTGACTTCTCTCTTACCCTCTTGAACCAGAATGCTGTGTGAAGTATGAGTGCCTGAACTAACTATGGTCTCTTATATGTCTAGAAATGGAAAGGCTAAGAATTAATAGATAAATGTTTTTTTCAAAGTAGAGCTTTCCGTTATGTAGAGGTTGTGTACTTCTAGCACTATCTTTTACCAACTTTTTAAAGATAAATAGTATATTATTTAATTAAATTTCTTTAAAGATTTCTAGTATTTTTTAGTATTGGTGTCACATCAAACAGCAATCACAAAATTATCCCTTAGCACATTTTCAATGCATTTCTGAATATTAATTTCTATTGCTGTGTAATTTTTACAAATTATCTTGAAATTGTTTTCTCAGTGAGTTGTGGACAATTTTTGGTTTATTGCAATTGAAGATAAAAAACATATTTGAAGATGTGAACAACTAGTTCACTAAAAATTCTGTGCAAATTCCTTTTCTCTTTATTCTTAGAAACAGCATATGGTTTAATTCTAACAGACGTAAGTTTTGTTTCTTTTTCTTCAGTTGTAATTTAGAAGCCCACTTGCTGTCCACCTTTAATGGTGTTGTTTAAGAATGAAGAATGGATGGTCTTCAGGAAAGAAAGAAAACTTTGAGTAATTATATTAATCCTGCTCTAAACCATTATATCAAGAAGTTCTTATTAAAGTGTCAGCGATGTGCAACACTGAGTCTATGGCTTTCTTTTTTAACTTGGGTTTTGTAGAGCAGAAGCCAACAAGCCAACAAGCTCATTGAGATCTTGGCAGCATGAAAATTATAGTGCCATGGAAGAAAAAAAAGCCATAAGTCAAGGGTCTCATTAGATTTCTATCTTGGTAACACTGAATTTGAACTGCAAGTTTTTATTGGTTTTACTAAGTCCTGATTTTGTGCTAACAAATAAGGTATTTAAACTCTTGTGAGCAGCACATACTAGTAGTAATATAGAAACACCACACAATTTAAGCAAAATTTTGTCTAAGTCTACTGTTTTGCTTAAGTTAACATAACTGCATAATTCAAAAGCTTCTCACTATTGAGTAACCAAATGCATAATTTTCATTCTACTTTAAATATAATTAATCTTACAGTGTTACTGTGTTTTCATAAATAAAAATATTAGATATATGTAATAATTTCTGAAAGGCACTGAAAATATACAATAAATGATCTTTTGGAACATCATGTTTTAAGTAAAGTGACTCAAGATTTTTAATTTTTTTTTCAGTTTATCAGTGGGAAATGCAGTTTCTTTAAGCTGCTGGTTTGTGCAGGGAAATTTTAGTTCTAATATTCTTTCAGGGGAAAACAAAAACAAAAACAAACAAACGAAACCCCACACACACACACAAAAAAAAAAAAAGAGAGAGAAGCAAATGTGTTGATTTAGAAAGTCACAGTATCCCAGGGTGAAATTATTTCCCGTTTCAAATTGGCTAAGACACTTCATTTTAGATTGTCAAGGTGAAATTTGTGTCAGGTCTCGGAAGAATTACAATAAAATTTCTTCAAGGCATCATATTCTGTGTTGTTCTCTCTCGTTAGATGGCCTTTTCTGTGACACCCTCTGTCCTGCAACTCTGAAAACAGTGCTTGAGAGGAGCTATAGATTAACACTGAATACAAGCCACAGAGAAGAAAGAGAGCAAAAGACTCTTGAATCACAGGGTTTGGCAGTACAGGTCAAACTGAGTTGAGCCAAGCAAAACCACTTTGGTTCTAAAAGTAAAATCAGTACATTTTGACCTTTCCAAATCAAATTTCTTTCTAATGTTTCAGGCCAGTATTCATGATGATAATAAAATTTTTTTGTACAGAGATTTTTTCAAAAGGGTTTATGTGAATGCAGTAAAATACTGCTTTTAAAATGAGAATTATATTTTTACTTCTAAGTCTAATGTATAATTTTATTATGCTTTAATATTTTGACATCTTTTTTCTCAGTATTTCATACAGCATGAATTTTGGCACTCGCATATACCTCAGATAATTATTTAAATATCTTTTCAGGGATATTCACCTCGTCCAACCTGGCCTTAAAAACCTCCAGAGATGGGGCATCAACAATCTCCCCGGGCAACCCATTCCAGTTTCACACCACCTTTATAGTGAAGATTTTTTTCCTAATATCTAACCTAAATCTCCCCTCTCTCAGTTTAAAACCATTACCCCTTGTCCTATCACTATCTTCTCTGATGAAAAGCCCCTCCCCAGCTTTCCTGTAGGCCCCTTTCAAGTACTGGAAAGTGCTATAAGGTCCCTCTGGAGCCTTCTCTTCTCTAGGCTGAACAGCCCCAACTCTCTTAGCCTGTCTTCATAGCAGAGCTGCTCCCTTAACAACATGCTTCAGCTCTGAAGGGGTCAGGTAGTTGGACAGGATTATCATTGTAGATACCTTCCAACTAAATTAATTCTCTTCCCTCTCTCTTCTCTTCTCTTCTCTTCTCTTCTCTTCTCTTCTCTTCTCTTCTCTTCTCTTCTCTTCTCTTCTCTTCTTTTCTCTTCTCTTCTCTTCTCTTCTCTTCTCTTTTTTCTCTTCTCACCAGCTGCAAAGCAGAGCAATAGTTTGTATCTACTTAAATGCTCTCTGTCATGTAAGTCTTCCCAGCAAGAGAGACACGCAACCCTGAAAAAACAGTCTACAGACAACTTCACAGCAGCCGTGGCTGCTATGCAGAGGAAACAACAAAAGAGTTGCTCTGCCACTCCTTGTTTCGTGCACATAAAAGACGGTATTTCATGCTGTCAGACAGTAACAAAGTGCCTGTGTTCAGGGCGATGATGTGCTTCGGCTTTTTTGCAGCTCCACCAATCCCAGAGCTCGTGGCTTGGCAGGCAGACCCATTTCTACAGCTGCAGCTGGCACCTGGAAAGTTAAACAACCTGGCCACACCGGAAAAGAAAAACCAGGTAGGCAGCAAACAAGAGAGTGGATATAGGGGAAAGAGCTGAACGGAGAAAGATAAGGAGGAAGCAGCTGAGTGAGAGAGAGGAGGTAAAGCAAAAGTAAGGAGGGGATTATTCCTGGTGGTTATAAGGGACTGAACAGCTTGAATTTGTTTAACGAACATGACAGGAGGCTTGGAGAATCAAAACCACAAGTAACACACACAGAAAAAACAATTACTCTGTTCTGAGAGTACCAACTGTTTACTCAAAGTATCAAACCCTGTCACTAATGTACTTCTCAGTCTGCTCATTTTTCCCCCAGTGGCCCCGGTCCTGCCAGCACTTCCAAGCTGCTAAGAGTACCCAGTGCAATCACTCCAGTTCCAAGAGCTGTCTGGGGCTAGGAACTCCCTCTGTGATGTGCACATCTGTTTAATAGAATATGCATTATCCACCATATTTCTTTAATAAGTAAAAGTAATTTTTAAATAATGATGTGCAGCCTTGATACACTGCTTCCTACTGGGATCTTTTCCCAGAAGATGAGTGGCAGCTGGGGCCACGGTGCCAGTAAAGAATCTTTAAACAATGCAGAGAAGATTATTGACATAATTTCAAACACTGTGAAATATTTGCATAATAGCTTCACATGAATCATAAATTAATTTCAGTTTTTCATTTCTAACAATATACACTGGATTTTTCATCTTAACACCATTTGCTAGATACTGCATTTATCTCATTTAATTGAATTGCTTGTCTAAAAGAAGAAACTGTACTTTTCTAGAAAAAAAAAATTAAAATACCCAAAAACCAAAACTGAAAACAAAAAACCCCAAACAAACAAAAACACAGATGCAGTAAAGTTACTTTTGCTTTTGTAAGAAGCAGAAGTGGACTGTGCTGGTCTGATCTAAAGTATGTCCCTCTCCTCCCCCCAGGAAAGCCAGCAGTTGCCTGGCACTGCTGTAAATCATTACTCAGCATGAGAAGGGAGTGGTGAGCAGAGCTGGGGGCAAGGCAAGGTTTTGGTGGAGTCACAAAGGGCCAGCCACTGTCCCTTACACTGGGGCCACTTGGAGCGATCCTAACTTGCTAGAATACTTGTGCTGACAACTGATTATCCCTGAAAGCAAACACTCTCCCTCCTGAGAAAAGTTAGGTTGTGTTAGATGATAATTTATTGCTGTTAAAAGCTTATCAAGAGAATTTAGGCAGATGTTGGTACTTGAAGAAAAGCGCATCCCGGTGTATGCTTCACACTTTGGAAAGTCCCTTTCCCCACCACGCACCAAAGAAGGGCTCAGCTGCTTATAGGGTTTGAAAAATGAAGATGAATCACAGAATAGTCATGGTTGGAAACAACCTCTGAGATCACCAAGCCCAACCATCACAAAAAAAAAACCCACCACACAACACACCACCCAAAAAAACCCCCCCCACACACAGCAAGACCCCAAGCAAACACAAACACCACACACACTCCAACAAATAACAACCACAAAAAAGCCCTCCCCCCGAATCCTGGCCACTAGAGCATGCCCTGAAGTGCCACATCTACACATTTCTTGAATACCTCCAAGGATGGTGACTCAACCACCACCATGGGCAGGCTGTTCCAGTGCCTGACCACTCTTTCAGTAAAGAAATTCTTCCTAATGTCCAATCTAAACCTCCCCTCCCACAACTTCAGGCCATTTCCTCTGGTCCTGTCATTATTCACCTAGGAGAAGAGGCCAACTCCCACCTCCCCACAACCTCCTTTCAGGTAGTTGTAGAGGGCAATGAGGTCTCCCCTCAGCCTCCTCTTCTCCAAACTAAACATCCCTAGCTCCCTCAGTTGCTCCTTGTATGACTTGTTCTCTAGACCCTTCACCAACTTGGTAGCTCTTCTCTGGACACGCTCCACCACCTCAGTGTACACTTGTCTGCGCCATGATTTGCCAGCTTTTCCAGGAGAATGCTGTAGGAGACAGTGTCAAAGACCTTACCAAAGTCCAGGTAGACAATGTCCGCAGCCTTCCCCTCATCCAAAAGGAAGGTCATATGGTCACAGAAAGAGATCGGGTTGGTCAAGCCAGACCTGCCTTTCATAAATCCATGCTGGCTGGCCCTGATCCCCTGGCTGCCCTGCGCTTGCCATGTGAGCTCACTCAAGATGAGCCTCTCCATGGTCTTTCCCGGTACCGAGGTCAGGCTGGCAGGCCTGGATTTCCCTGGATCCTCCTTCCAGCCCTTCTTGTAGATGGGTGTCACTTTAGCCACCTTCCAGTCACCCAAGACCTCCCCTGTTGATTAGGAATGTTGATAAATTAGCTTTCTCTTAGTTCTGTGGTGTATTTGAAATCTGAACTGCTGCTGTCTCCAGAGGGAAAACAAAGATCCCATGCTCCATGGATCCTCTGCTGCAACGGATTGTAAGGGTGGAGCTGTGGCTTGACTATGGGAGGAGGAGTGTTTAGCAGCTGCCAGGTTAACGTAGAGGCAAGGCAAAAAGGAGTTTCACTTCAGTGGTTGGTGACACAGGCACTAGCTGTGTTAAAAACAAATTGATACAGTTTGATGTTTATTTCATAACATCAGGCAAATTATTTCTGTAAAGTATTAGTAATAGAAGTTTTTCATACAAGGGAACTGAGGAACCTCTATAATGTTTAAAATTATTTCTGCTTTGATCAAATAAACAAGTGTTTTAAAGCCCCAAACGTTTTTTATGATGACTGAAAGTCCTGGAGCATGTGCAGGAGATACAGCTGACCCACGTTAAAGTTATAAACAACATAAGAACAGATATGTACGTTCTGGCAAAATAATTTCCAGAAAACCTTCCGTCTCACAGAGGCTCGTGAGCCATGTGAAAAAGACATGATTCTACTCATTTGTCCTGTGAACACATAGGTACTTCAAAGGGAAATCAGTGCTAAGGATTTTTAAAGGGAATTAAATTAGCTTTTTACTCTATCATATCAGCATTAAAAAACTGGCAACTAGTTGTAAATAAATATGTATTTATTTATTTGTTTATTAACACCTCACTAACATTATGTCAGACAGGCAACCAAAACCTTTGTCAGAATTCCAGGGAGCTAACTTCCAGATTAAGAAGAAAGTCACAAATCAAGGTTCTTCTCTTGCAGCCTTTTGATGTAAAGAAATACTTTCAAGTTATGCTTAACTATTAGGCTAGGAAATGTAATACACAGCTAGCATCAGAATCTACTTCTAAACATGAAATTAAAAGTAGTGTAATATCAAAGCTCTCCAAGACATGCTCTGCCTCATTTATCTCAAACAGGAATTGCTAAAAAAGAATGTCACTCACACTGTTTTTATTAGCATTGGCTGCACTAGCTACCTCAACCTGTACCAGATGACACCCCTGCTCTTGAGACCCTGAAGCAGATCCTCAGAGTATCTCAGAGTGTATTCTTGTGCAAGAACCCATTTCTGCTCAGTTACAAAGCCACCAGTCCAGCACAGTGACTCAGTGACAGAAACAAAACAGAATAAGGAAATCCTTAATGGTGTGCATTTCATGTATACAGGTTTCTTTGTTTCTGCCTCTTTTTTTCCTTTAAATTAAGACAATTATATTAACACAAGGGTATCAGCAAACTCCATAAATGGTGATATTCTAAATAAATAATACAAACATACAGATGCACATAACTTCAGAATGAATTGTGAGGTAAAACAGTTCTAATTGATATATAATAGAAATATTGTATAAATATATTTGTTGCAGCTGACATCACACAGAATGTGGAATTATTTATCATACACTGTTACAACAGTTGTAACGGGTCGTAAATTAATTTGAAAGACTCCCGTAAGGCTGGTTCCCTCTCCAAGCCCTCATAGTATCCCACATAGTTTCATAACCAGCCGCCTTAGAAATCATTCACGGCAATTGAGTGGGATCTTAGAAAGACTAATTAGGGAAGTGCCTCAAAGAGGAGAGGATGTCTGGGAAGTATATTTAATTGTTTCGCCATCACAAAGAATCAGTCGTGCCTTTGTAAGCATCAATTAATCAGGTGTACCCAGGAAAGATCTCTGCCAGATAAGAGTAGGAAGGATATGGCTCGGAGCATATGAAAAGGAAAATTACAGGCAAGGTTATGCTAAAACAACTCACGACTTTATTTTCCCACACGACTGTGCTCACCCCCCTATCAATTCATTAATTACTCGTCCGTTTATGGCTCTGCTGTCACAGTTGCTCTCCGTGCCTCCGACACCCCCCACCTCGCTTTCCTTGGCAATAAACCCCCAGCTCTGAAAGCCCCAGGGAAACGCGGGTTCCCGCGGGCAGAGCCGGACGGGGCGCGGCCCGGGCTCCCCTCCCGCGGGCACAGGCGGC